AATAATTTAGTAGTTTTGTTATTATAAAATATTTATAATATCAAACAGTTTCCAATTTACAATAATTCTTATCTTCTCTGGATTTATCCGGATATTATTTTTCTCTATAATCAGATTAAAAAAGATGATTTCAGATTTCAGGAATTCACATTTTTTGAATTTTATAAATAGATTGGCTTCTCACAATATTTACAGAACTTTTTGAATATAATAAATATATTTCTCTCGGGTATAATTATATATTAATATATTGTTTAGATATGTGGTACAAAATATATTTAAATATTTATATAAAAAGTTGTTAATGAATCTCTAGAATATAGTAAATGCCCCTATCAGCTCAAATAATATAATCAGAAACTCGAATAAGCCGAATTGAATACAGAATATAATTAAATACTCTTATCCTTCCTTAATTCTAATATTATTGAAAATAAAGATAATATTGATCTTATTAAAATATTTTATTCTTTTCAAATTATTTAGGGATTTTTTAATTAGCAATAACAAATATTAATCTTTTACAAACAAATTATTTAGAATTCTATAATCAACACAAAAATAAAGGCTTTTATTGGCTTTTTTAACAAATAGAATAAATAATATAATAAACAAAAAACTAGAATAAATAAACCTTTTCTTCAAATTCTCTTCTAATTATTTTTTTAGAGTTTTAAGTTCAATTCAGAATATAATATATAAAACTTTAAAGAATAATATAGCTTCTTTTTGAAATCAGATTTTGTAATTGTATAATTAATATAATAATAATTTATTAATATTTTATAAGGAAAATACATTTTTTTAGTTTTGGAATTCAGATAAAAGATTATTCGAATCGAATTCTTTTTTTTTGTTTAGGATATTATTAATCTATCCAATAAAGATCTGAAATATTTTATATTTTCAATAAATATATACAGAATAAGCTTTTAAAAAGATTATAGCTATATCTTAATTCTTAAGATCTTTAGGATAATTAGATAGATATATAGATTAGACTTTCAAAAGAATATCAGATAGAGCTTTTATTCAAAATAGACGGGATAGAGTATTACAGAATTTATAATAATATAAACTATCAAATTGAAATAAGTTTATTATAAAATCAATATAGAAATTGTACTTTTTAAACTAAACTATACCTAATACTATAAAATAATAAACTAATTCAATTATATATAAAGTGATTTTTTTTTAATATAATCATTAATTTTAAATTTAATATAAATATAGAAAATAACTCGATTTCTAGATGGAATTTTGTTATCAAATCCAATAACTTTGAAAATAATAGATAGTTTGTATTCAGGAATCTTTTAGAATAATATCCAGTTTTAATTAACAAAAACAATCTCTTTATAATTATTATCCATTATAGCATAAATTGAAAGAGTATCTCTTCCCAAAAGCAGGGTAATAGATAGGATTATTAGATCTATACAATTATTCAATTTATTTTTCAAGAATAATTCTTAAATAATAATAATAGATAAATAAAGTTTACATAGAAAATTGCTCTAATAGCAATTTAAATTAAACAAATCCTATTTCCCAATCTAAACAAACTAATCGAAGAATGGGGTAATAATTAAAACAGAGAGTAAGACAGAAATCAAATAGATATTCTGCCCTTTAATAAATTTCTTGGGATAGGGTTATATCTAAAGGAAATTAGAAATCCCAATTCTGAACTAAATAGAATGGATATCAGAATGTAAACAATTATAAATTAAATAGCTAGCAAAGTCATAATAATAATATTCTTTTTATTTCTTTTAAAACAAACTATTATTAATAATATAATATTAAAAACTAAAATTCATAGAATCTTCTCCTTAAATAAATGGAAAAATAGTCTTATTTATATAAAAAGATTAGATTATAGAATTATAAATAGATTTAAATAATAAAATAAAAATCTTTTTTTAATAAAAATAAAAGTAATAAAATAGTTTTGAGAGATTTATTATTAATACTAATAAAATCCATTATCAAATTATTATAAATAAATAGAATATTTCTAGAAATTATAAAACAAAAACAGATTATAAAGTAGTATATCTTATAGTTCTCAAAAGATTTCTTAAAATAATAATAGAATTAGAATATTATTAGATATCTCGTTTTTTAGAACTAGTTTCTGAAATTTAGCAAAATAGATATTAAAATTAAGATATCTTTATTTGAATTAATATAATTGATTCTGAATATTTTATTTATAATTAGAATCTTTAAAAATATTCTTTAAATATTCCAAAAATAGATTATAATTAGTAAATTACAGAATATTGCGAATAATCTTAAAAAGGATTAGTTTATAAGCTTTTTCAGTAAGTTTTCTAATAATATAAATTAGATAAATAGAAATAATAGGAAAATAATTAGAATTCGAATTTATTTTTATATATATTTATTAAATAAATCTTTATAAATTAAATAGGAAATTATTAAATTCTTTAGAATTAAGGATATATTTATTTAAGTGGGTAATAGTAAATAGAATAGGTATAATAATATTAAATGATTTGAGAATAGATTTAGTAAATATTATTTTAGAGGATGTAATAAAAGCAGACATAGATTTAATAAAACAATTAAGCAGGTGGATATTCTATATAGCAATTTGTTTGTATAAAAAGACTTTAATATATCTTTTAATAAACATTTCTTAAATCTTATATTCGAAGAATAAATTAGTTTCTTCTAATCCAATAGTATATATAGCTATTAATTAGAAATATTAATATTAAGCTTAAGAATCCTTTACTATAATTATACTAAGCTTAAAGGTATTTTTTGAGTAACTAAACAAATACAAAGCTAATATTATTATTATAATAATATTAGGAGAAGCTATGTAATATTATAGAATAAATAGGTAAGATTAGGAATCTATATTCAATAATATTAAGAATAATAGATACAGAATGTAAATTAAAATGTAGCTTAAAGAGCTACAATACAGAATCTTTCAATATGAAGATATATAGAGTTTTCATTTGTAAGCTAGCCTTACAGGGTCTAGCTTATCGCTTATCGGTCACGTGTATCCACACCGTGACAAGATTCCTATTTCTCCCAGGTTTAGAGATTCCTTATAGTCTTGATTTTTTATATTAAAGAATTAATCTCACTATATTACAAAAAAATCTAAATTCGATTTTGATTTTATATAATACTAATCCTACTATACAACTTTTTATAATAAATTCCCTTTTATATTAAGTAAGCTTTTTCCCCTATACAAAAATATTTTGATTTGAAATCATTCAAAATTATAATTATTAAATAATAAAATTTTAAAAATATGATATTGAAGATTTTGTCACATGGAAAATACGAAATACGCAATTTGGCCCTTATTTTTTGTGGGTCACTGTAGCCTTGAGAGCTCATTATGTCATGTTGAACATCTGTGATACTTCAGTTAAATTCAATGTTGAATGATGTAATGTCGTATGAGAGGTGCGTTGTCAAATAGTTTCAAGTGGATCTAATTCTCAGCATTATTTCATATACAGCATCCGTGATGGTCTCTTCCGGGCTGAAATACCATCGCCCGCCGTTATTTCTTCCATCTCCCAGAAGAGCCTTTCGTCTAATATTAGATTGTATTGGAGAACAAAGGCACGACCAAACAATCTAGTAAAATAATTATCTCCGTTTCATTAAATCTCATATCGCAGTATATACAGTTTCCAGAAAAGAAATCTCAAAGTATACACAATTCCCAAAACGTTCTTTCATCATACGGTGATCCTATGCTGGAAGGGTGTTGTTTGGTAGAGTTCCAAATCCACTCGGGAATATATAAGTCCCACTGGCAACATCCTTTGCAATTGTCGCATTCGGCTTGGTATAAGTCTTAATATCGAAACCCAATGACTTGCCCACGGCAACATCGATCAATCCACTGACAATGTTTCCGAACAAAACACTTCCGGCAGCATTAATGTGTGTGAAATCCGTTGGTGTCAAGTTATACGTCGCAGCATCGGTCGCCCCAATAGCATCGACATAGTCTGTGGATGCGCGGTTAAGATCTATGTATAAGGATCCGATCGATTTAGCAACAGCTATGGTAGCATTGGCTTGTACGGCAAGATCTTCTTTGGCAAGACCTGAACTATTGAAGCTTCGACGGGTCAGAGAGGTGACGAGGATCTAAGTACCCAGGTTAGTTAACTCTGTTGTATATTGAGATTGTCGCTGGCACCCCTCTGCCGTATTTTCTGGTCCCCAATGGATAACCCCTGCGTGTTTTCGATACCAACATAAAAGAGGCATTTGAATATCCCCCAATATAGACTCAAGTCTATGAAAAAGTATTGACTTACTGGAGTTCCACCAGCCGCTACTACATCCTCCGCCATGTTCTTCAAATTGGTCATGTACTCCGCAACTGAGATGTTTGCGGTTGCCTTTTGATCATTGTGACCAAACTAGTTTCACGGGTCAGCACTATCTTATCACTTTTTTCTCTCCGCCGTTCGCCAAAACTTACTTGAATTGTAACAAAAGTTGTATAGTCTGCCTTATACTTTGCTACAGATGCCAATACTTTTGCCCAATCGCCACCATTCACGAAGCTTACAGTCGTTGCACCATTGTGTCCATAATTGATACCTCCAGCTCCGTTGCGAAGTGTAGCTAGAAAACCATTACCCCATCCACCACCTGTCAAAGCTGCATTTTGAACGGCCGTTGTTGAATCACCGGCGAGTAGAAATGCTGGTGGTGCTACGCTGTAAACAGGGGATGCGAACAATGTAGTAGCCAGACCGGTTAAAAGGAATCCAAGATTGCGAACCATTTTGGGAGTATTGGAAAGTACGAGTTAATTGTTCGACGGTCGAGATCACGGAGGGTATTTACTGCTTGACAACTGGGTCAATGGGCTTCAGGAGAGTAGATTCGGATAACTACTTGTAAATGAGAAAGCAGGAAGTTGGGGCGGTAGAGGCAGTATATAAAGTATCGTGAGATAACCAGCCAACATGTATTCCTCCGACATTCGGTTCATCATCGGAAAATATTTTCGGTGAATTATTGACCGATGTCTATCTACGTGTGTTTTCCAAGACATGTAATGGATATACTTGGCAGGTACTCGGCCGAAGGCATTCATAATTCTTCCGGAGCGTTTTACCGCGTCGGCGATCTCCAGCAAACCCCGCATTGCCGCGTAACCCCACTTGTTTTGTTGTAAGCAAAACTTTAATCGTTCAGGCAATCTGAAGGCTGGATTCAATACCTTATTAAAGTTTTACTGTCTACCTACCCATGGTGTTTTGAATTATATACCACAGTCAGATTAGAAAATCGAGAGGGGTCATGAGCGTCCTGCTACTGACAGATTTCTGCCTCCATGACCAGCATGGCTAAAATTCTAGCATGCACCTCATAACAAAACCAGTCTGATCGTCCATAGAAGTCAAATCTCCCCCTCTCCCTCGGCGGATTGTTATCCATCTCAACCTGGCATTCGGGCTCAAATGACACTCATCCTATCCTTTGCTTCCTTCTAACCCAAACTTCCCTCTCTCCATTCTCCGCCCCAGAAATTGATCGTAGTTGAACTTCCCAGACTTTCAACTTATAACTTCCTCGGTCACCTTTGCCATGAATCAAATCAAAAGACCAGTCATGTTTTGGACATTGTATTCCTACACTCAATCGTATGCCAAAATCCTCAATGTCAAACGGTGTGCCTCGTGAAAGTGGAAAAGAGGAATGTGGACAGCTCTACCAATTATTCAGTAGTGATTCATCAAATTTCCTTTGGAAATATACCCTCAGTCTTTTCATGGAACAAGAATAAGTAAACTAAACTTACATGATCAACGGCATGAAACTTGCCTTGGTATTGAAACACTATAACTTGCTCCTTGAGTCCAGCTGCTACGGCATCATCAAGCTCGACTTCAACTGCTTGAGGACTATTGGTAACAGGTACATGAAAGACTTTGCAACCAGGTGCGAAAGAACCTTTGCATGGTAAGCGATCGGATAGGACAGTATCTCCGGAGGCTGTAATATTCGGAAAGGAAGATGTAGGGCCAGCCAGAAACCAAGCATCGCCAGATCGAGAAGTACCGACAAAAGGGTTAAAGAATGACATGGCTATGTTGATAGTGGTTTTTCGTCAAGACGACTATGAATCTCTACCTACCCTGTGGTGCTTTTCCCTGTGGTTTTGAAAATTCAAGCAGAGATGCAGCTTTTACTTAAAAGCTTGCTATCTATTGCTAACCACTCTCTAACGATCTGGTTCCTCGGAACAGCCCTTCACAACGCGAACTCTGTTTTGCAATAAGGATGAAACAACAAACGATCCTCCTTCAACTCTTTGGATTGAAGATGTTGGAAAGAAACCATTGGAAAATCTTGATAGTTCTTATCATAGAATTGCGCCACATTGAGACATAGGTATCCTCGGATTAGGTAATCCTTCAGCCACACATGTATCTGTCCACGGGGGTAGGTATTATATGTGGCACATTCTGTCTCTCTAAATATTTCTTCCCCTGAAAGTTTCCAGCAAGTCGACAACACCTGCACTGATAGGTACTATCGAGTATCGACGGCAACCTGTGTTGAGTTTGTGGTCTCTCAGTATTCCTAGCTCACAATCAAGACACATTCAAAGGGGCCTCCGGATTCCCTCGTACTCATATTTGCCTTTTTTGGCAGCTGCTCGTTTGTTTATATATCACCTCCTTGCCTTAATGCTTCTACTTGTTTATCGCGTCTTTCATTTGGCTTAGCGTACGTCACTGTCTATTCTCATATTCTGAATGATGTATGTCGGCAGCTATCATTGGAGTTCAAAGATCCCTTCTCTGGATGCTTGCCGCAACTCAACTTTGATTCATCAATGTCATACAATCTTTTCTCCACCCTGAGAAATGAGTCTCGTTCTTACTTCTTTGAGCGGCTCGTTCCGATCGCGCACCCCCAAAACTGAAACATACCGGTATATCAAAAGAATGATAGTCATGCCACTAGGGATGGGCGAATTATATAATTTGGGGGTCGATTATATAATTTCATATTATAACACTTTTTGAGGTATATAAAATATTATGCTAAGTTTATGCACGTGTTTTTCGGATCAATAAAACCATCAGGATGAATAAAAGTGGGTCGTTTTTGGAAAAAGTTTTTGATGAGTTCTAATTTTCAATTTAGTGTATAATTAGATCTAAAAGTCAGGTGCATCAGTACTAATCATGTGATTTCTATTAGTACTAATTATGTGATTTCTATATCAATTTTATATAATTCAAAATCAACAAAATTTAGATTGAAAGTAGTAGCTATTGGTTTATTAAAGTTAAAAAAAATCTTCAAAATTTCCACTTTCTGTACTAAAAATAATACAATCTGAGCGATATTATATATTATATTTGACTGAGCGATATACGATATTATATATCATCAAATCGCCCAACCCTACATGCCACCAAAAGGACATGAAGATGGAGTGGCTCCTCACGTGCCCAAAGGTGATCTTCTTCGGTTACAACGGAAGCGACGTCCTTGTCTAGTTAGTTGGTCCCTTTTTTTCGGATGCTTTGGCGGCATGAATAAACGACATCAGCACAAAAACCATTCGGGTGCTCTTTAGATTTCTCATCAATAGTGTAATTCATCTCAAGTAGACCTAGAATTCATTTCTACTTGCAAGGGAGTATGCGACCTCATATATGAGGTGGTTAAACAGGCAGTCCTCGCACGGCTGTAGTCAACAAAAGCTATCATTTACTTTCATGTTTTTCCTGGCGTAATGACCGCCAAAAAGTACATGAAGTACTACAAACCTCTTCTTACAGTTCTCCGGCAGTTGCGAGAGATCTTCATGATTCAATCAAGAGACCTACATTGGGAAAGTTTATATTGATTTATCTACTCTGGTTCGCCTGGAACATTGGAGCATCATGGTTTGTGAGTGATGAGCGGGACGAACAAAGGCTGAAATCTCCCTAGTATTGATTATCCATACTGGGGAAATTTGATGCTCATCATTGTTCAAGCATCTTGGCATCTTGGAGAAGATTGATCCCTCGATGCACCGTTAAAACGATAGTTTATATTTTTGGCATCTTTGATCTGACAGGCTGTAGTTCTCAGGAGGGATCACTCTTAGATCTATGCCATCCATGTCAATGCGAACACTTCACAACTTCACAAGTCGATTCATTTCATTCATCAAATATTTCATTGAACATTACGCGTCTCTTTCGCATCCCGTTTCCCATCTATCCTATGTCGCGAATGAGTTGCCGGATTGAATCAATCTGATAACACATGAAGGCTGTCGTGAGTAGTCTCGATCTCGACATCTTGTACTTGAAAAATAAAAGATGTCCATTGACTCTTCCATTGTTTCTTCGACATCTTTGGGAGAATTGTATCTCGACCTTCATTTCCTCCTTTTCCATGGCAAAGTTAGCCAAGGTATCATTAATTATTGGAACACAGGGGTAACACAGGGTTCAGGATAATATTTCTTGTTCTTCGATAGCACACTCGCCGGTATTATTCCGATATCTATCACTTCGTAAGTTCGTGTTGTTTTACCCTGCACAAATTATAAGGCGGTATGGTTTAATAAATGTTCAAATAAACTTCAGGATCTATAGGCTGCTTATGAACAGGCGGTGCAGCATCAAGAGAGTTAGATGACTGTCCAATCTTAATCGGCATTTAATCTAAGGTTACTGCTCCGATCCGATCTTGCTCAAACCACTTTTTCCCGTGGAGTTCTATGGATTTCGAAAATCCAAGGTCAATCAATCTTGTCGTCTCAGTCTGAGACCAGTGCTACGTCTACCAAGTACGGAGTATACGGAGTATGGGTACTTCCATGTGGACGTCCATGTGGATACCTCAACGCTCAGCGGCTTGAGAGCGGGTCAAATTGAGTGGGTTGACCTGCTTTACTTCACCAGAAATATACAGAGACCCACATATCGACCTTATTCAGCCACATTGAGGTACTTGGTATATTCAAATTTCTTTCTTTTCCAATCCTGAGCGTTGGGTATGGAACGAGGGGAGTCAACAAGAAGAAGCATTGTTCTAGAATTCGGGGTCAATATGCGTAGAATGATTGTGACTGATGAAAATAGCGGATCCATCACTTCCTTTTATATCAAAACAAGGACCAACGTTATCATTAAGGAATGACCATCTGTGCTCTATCCCCATACAATATCGAAGAATACCCGCAAGATGTCAAGAAACAGAGCTTCGGGGAGCACGTTATCATTGCCGGTAGTGCGCAAAAGTATAAACAAATGGAAAAGCAAGAAATCTTCTCCCATTCTTGTCGATCGTCTTGATTTTGTAATTTTTTCCCAATGAATCACTAGGCTGGTCACTGTTTTATTTCTTCTGAGTTCCTTTGATCATTGCTTCACTTTTCTTTGCACATTTTAATCTGCCGAGATGGTGACAGAAGCTTCAGATAAAAAAGATGGAATTCTAATCATTACATTACTGTTCTCTGGAATTGCGTGTGTGGCGGTTGCTTTACGATGCTATGTTCGAACTAGGTTGCTGAAGGCATTTGGTGCTGATGATGCCATTGCAGTTTGCTCTTTGGTAATATCTATCACGCAGGGTTTGGAAGGGTACCTATATACTGACATCACATAGTTTCTTTTGTGCGTTGAAGTTGTTTTTACCATGTTGGGAATTAATTCGGGATTTGGACAACATATCGACAGCATGACCATGGAGCATTACTTGCGCGGATTAAAAGTATGCTTCTCGTTACCAAGTCACGGCTTTAAATTTTCTGACATCTTTCTTTAGTGGTGGTGTTATTCGGAAATCATATACCCTCCTACTATAGCTGTTATCAAGATATCCATCGCTCTTTACCTCGTCCGCATCGCCGTGAAGCCAGTTCATATATACACCATCTATATATCCATGACAATCTTCCTCTTGTACACCACAGGTTTTTTCATCATCTTGTTACTTCAATGTAGACCGATATCATTCTACTGGAGGCGATTTGAAGGAGCAACCGATGGGCATTGTTTAGAGGGCTCTACGATAGCAGCTATGGCATATGGCCATGGAGTCGTGAACGTCTTGACAGATCTTACTCTGGGGATAATTCCGGCGTTTATTGTGGCGGATCTTCAAATCACAACAAGAACAAAAGCAGCGGTCGCAATGACTTTAGCATTGGGCTCCATGTAAGCGACGTTGTTCATTTGCCAAATCGATAGAGGTTGCTTCGACAGATACTGACAGACTACCAGTGCTAGCGTGTGCACCCTCACAAGAATCGCATACATTAACGATCTCTTGCATACCAGCGATTATCTCTATTCATTAGCGTATGTTTCCCCTCACACATCATTTTCCATTTACAATTCCACCTATTAACCCCATATCAGTGATGTTGTTATCCTCTCAATTGTCGAAGCAGCTGTCGGGCTCATAGCCTGTTGCTTAGCGACACTCAAGCCTCTCATCCGCTCATTCCTTGACTGGTCGGAGAAATCGATCGGATCATCTGGAGGCCTTCACACGCGCATGATGGATGGAATGCACCGAAGGCGAACAAAAATGTACGACACGGAACTAAATCTCAGGCCCGATCTCGCCATTGTCGGATTCACGACGACAGTAATATCGAGCAACGGACGAGAATCACCACCTCTACATCCGAGTATTAGTCAAACTATGGATGTCAAGAGTGACGTGTGGCTTAGTCCGAGGTCTCATGGAAGTCAAAAGTCAAATAGGAGGTTAGAAAGTGGAAATGGGGTCCAAGCCGCGGTGCCGGCTTGCCAAATAAAGTAGAGACTAATGGACGTGTATGATACCACTTTTTCACATGATAAGTTTCATTTCGTGCGACTTGAGTTTCGTGATTTTTATTTGAACTGTATATCTGAGCTACCCCAAGGTACATCAACCAACCAAGCTGAATGCTTCAAGATGCATGAAGAGTCAAACAGACTTGAAGCCTCATGGTCGGACACATGAACGAGGTACGCCCAGGTCATGACAGAACAGACCGGGTTAACATTTCAACTTCTCGATCCACTCCCTCAGTTATGAATTGATACTAAAATCACATCTCATCGAGTAAATGCCATACCCGAAATGCGCCAATGGTTGCTCTTTGGCTCCTACCATGTGCCCGTCCCAACTTTCAACACCGATTCCAGAGCTTTACAGCCCAGATACCTCCTATCGCTCGATGATCTATATCATCCCTCTTGGTGTTCTCGCCGATCTCATTTGCCTCAATACAATGGCTACTTTCCTGCTCAAGGCAGGAACTAGCATAAAAAAAGCACCAACGCTGCACATGCAAAACTAATCAAGATAACCATCGGATCACTGACATCTTTCAGTTCTTGATTTCCGTCCTGATTAGTGTCAATTCCTTCAGGTCCAGGCATTGAAGTTGTACTGATCATTGATTTACTT